ATTTATGCAGGAAAAAAAATAGTTAAAACAGTATTTTTAGATCCTAAACTTATATTTACATACCTGAGTAGAAAAGAGATTATTTTGATAAAATTCTTGGTACTTTCACTTACTTAAACGAGATATGCCAGTGCCTTGAATATTAATTAAAGTCTGCTCCTCAGAAGATCAGACAATGGATTTGCATGCTTAGGGAACTTGCAACTCTGTTACACTGAATGCCTTTCAAAAATGCTGCCCTGTGCCTGACCAGAGATTATGAAGCCCAACTCTGAACAACATTTGTTTCAACATTCTGGTCTCAACTATTATCAAAAAAAATAGCTAAATATGTACATAATGATTTATACGTATTATTATGAAATCAACCTCAGCAGAGGGTTGAATCACCATTTTAATGCAACTAACTCTAAACACAAATTGAGGCACTCCAGCAGGCTAGTCTGAGGCATCTCCAAAGCTTCCAGCCAGCATCCTTCACCAAAAACATGTAACAGGGGGTAAGGGGGTGGGGGAATCCTAAACAAACATTTCAATAAACCTGCACTGCTTACAAGTAATTCCACAGCACAAGTGCAGAGCAACAAGTAGTGATTCCTTCCTCTAAAGTATATTCCCTGAAAAAAAGCATAAAAATATGAAATCTTATGTAATTTGAAGTCTGGTAGGAATTCAGGAAAAATAAGGCATAACTGTAATTTCCTCTTATTCTGGCCACCTTACTAAAAATGTAGTAAAAGCAACTTTCAGCCGCGCAGTTGTTATTTGCTCACATTCAGTACCAATGATCAGCTTTCCAGACATCAACATATTTTTTGTAAGTAGGGTTTTAGAACAGAAATCTGTACTTTACCTGTAAGCTTTAAGTATTGTTCCTCGGGCATCTAGTTACTAGCACTGTTAGATTATATAGGTAGTCACTAGGTAGCTACAGCTAGGTCAAGAACGGCTCAACAATCCTGCAATGTCTACCGCTAAACGTGAATAAAATATTGAGATGCCCTACCGCAAGACTTCTATTTTTCTAAATCAAAAGCATTTTATTTCATACTAAAAGTGTTCAGCCTATTCTGGTTCCACTTTGTACTGCGCCTTTTAAGTATCTTCAGAAGACTGGAGTTCCACACCCCCTCCCAAAGCGCAATTAAGTCTTGGTACCCTGTGCAAGCCCCACATACACACACTAGCACCTAGTACCATCCAAAGAGAACCTCAAACAGCATTTAATAAACTCATAATAGTAGGATTAGCCTTTCTGAATACTGATGCGAGACATTTTCTTGTTGTTTCATTGCAGGTAAGACCTATCAGGACAAGGCTTGGCAACAACGATGGATCCTCTAAGAACCTTCAAAAGTGAATCATGATGATTACTAGAAATGCTTGTAACTGCAAGAAAATTTTGAGAGTCTCCATTTTAACTTGGTATTTTCTATTCTAAACTGTATGGGTTTTTTTCCTATTCCATTTTACCATAGTAAACAAAAACATTTCAAGATTAATAAGTTTTTCTAACATTTACTTTTTGTTCTTCAACACAGAAGTAAACAGCAGTGGCCCATGCCTGGTAATTTAGAAACTGGGAAATAATGGCTTACTAAATTCGGCATCATGGCGAGATACTTATTTCGTATTTACCAAAATGTTTAGTGCTTCTGAAGTTCTGTGTGTGTACACTGCAGATTACACAACTATACACTTCAGCTGATTTATCTCTTACGAAAATGTTGAAGGAAACAAAGATCGTCCCTTTTAAATAAAACATAGGAATTTTAAAGACCATGTAAAAAGAAAAACCATTGGCATCAGAATAGTCTATGTAACGAGATGGGAAAAACCTTTTAACTAGTCATGCACGCAGTACCTGCTATTCTCCCACTTTTGTTACTGAAAATTAACATCAAGAACTATAAACATATACTAGGAAACTTTCAGTTGTCAAAGACATTGTTTTTATACATCTTAAGCATCTTTTCTCTTTTGTCTCTATCTGCACCTCCTGAGCTTGAGACCCACACATGTCCAGATAGAATAAAAAGCCAGCCAAACCCCTCATAACTTGGTATTTGGTCCATCTATACCCAATCAACACAGGTTTTTGTGGAACACTGATTACACTAATTGCTGGACAAACAAAAGCAGCTGCAAGAAATACAGAGGATAATCTCCAGACTTAAGTTCACTTGTGGATAGTGCTCATCTTAAGAGCTACAAGTGTAAAAATTCCAAACAGATTAAGGAATGTTACTACTTTCTAAAATTGCACACTGATACTGTATGGCAGCACCTTTTCCTTGAACAAATAAATACCCTTTGGCTTTTTATGACATAAAGCTCTATAGTAAAGGAGGGAATGCAAGGTGTGTCCAAGGCTGCTGAGTTTCCAAAGTAGTTCTGCAAGACAACTATATCTATATTTAGCTTAGTCAGTAAGCTAAAATTTCATTGTGATAAAAATCTTGCTTAGCTCACAGTGCAATGTGAAAGCTATAGAGCTGCCCATCACTCCCTACTTAGCTGCACAGAGCAATGAATTCTAAATAACTTAATTAAAACAGCAAGACTGTAATTGGTCTGTATGCCCTATGTGTGGCACTATGTCACAACTGCCATATGTGGATGGATTGTTAATGTCTTTTTTACCTCATTCCAAATCTCAGTACAGTAAAAAAGACTAACTATAACGTTCTATCTTTTCATCCTTTTCAGTGGCACTTTACAAATCCTTAGCAGAACAGAACAGCTGTGTTTGCACCTGCACTTCATGAGACTACAGTGTGTGAAAGCGTGGCCATTAGTAGTTACCAGATAACATTATTCCAGTGAAGTAATGAAGGCATGAAGTATTACCAAACCATCTTTAGAGTCAATCTTAGTGCACAAGGAACTAAGTTTTTCTTTTGATTTTTGTGATCAAGATTTTGTGTATTTGTAAAAGACCTCTATTACACACATATATCTGCAGTTTAAAATTACTCGTTTATGACACACACAGCAATGAATACTATATCCACAACTGGTAACATACTGTTTTAATGAAACAAGAACGAACTTACCTGTTTGAAAACGAACACTTAACAAACAATGCCCACAAACCACTCCTGCTCCGATACCTACTGGAGTTTCTACCAGCACCCATCCCACCATCAACTACAGTGTCCACACAAAGGAAGTTAACTGAAAGTTACACAAGACTATCAGCAATCTAGCTTGCTTTCTGCCACTTACAATTTCAGGATTCACCTTTCCAATTTCATATTCACATCCTCAAGACTATCCAAAAACTCAGACAGTCCCGTAGCACAAAGCCCCACCCCATCTTATAGGTGAAAATGAGATCTATCACACAGAGCTAGTATGATGGCCCTCATTCTGAACATACTTTGGACAACATGTAAGTAAAGAAAATGAATTAGTGGAATTAGGGAGAGAAAATTGCTTAGAAATCTAATTAAAGAGAAATTTTAGACTCTTGCTTAGAAAGCATTATACTGTCCATCCAGGTAAAAAAAAACCCTGTTCTTTTCCTTAACAAAAGGAAGGAAAAAAAAGCCTAGAAATTAAGAACGGATTCTCAATCATAATAACAATTAACATTGCAAATACTGCCAAATTTAAAGTGAAGAAAAAGCAAGTGTAATCTGTAAAGCAAGGACTTTATATCAACAAACTTGAAGCAAAACCACCTTGTATCACTAGTTAAGAAAGGCCACCCTAGGAACCCAGTTCTTTTAGGCATTTTTACTTCACTATCAGAGATGCTCACATCATCTGAAAAAATAGTATAGATAAGTAAATATCACTGCTCAATTGCAAAAACCTGAAGAGTTTATAAAACAATACATAATTGTGTAGTTGGTAGAAATTTCAAAGACAGATGGGCCAGGGATAGGTAAAAGATGAGCAGCCTTTCCAAACCTTCTCCCTCAAACTGTCCCATCTATTGAGAGAGTAAAGAAACACGAGTTTGAAATATTCCAAGATAATTTTACTGAATGGGTGCACACATGAGCATGGGAGTCCACAGTATGGATGATTCTTAATGGCAAGCACCAAAACAATGATGTAGGATAAACAGCAAAGTGATTATCTAACCACATCTGCTAATGAATTACAGGCATCTCAGCAGTGGAGGGCACTGCTGTCACTGCACTGATAACATGCATAAAGCCAGTGTCCTAAAACAGAACTATCATGACATTAGTTACTACTACTCACCATGCCTATAGGTGCTTCAATGGTAGCATCACTGAAGAAGAGTTCATTATTGGACAGGAAGACCGTCAAAGCCGAGTTGAGCTACAACTCCAGAAGCTTTACGGATTTGAGCTACTGTTGACTTAGCCATCAAGGTCTGCTGGCTCCCATCACTTCTTCTGGCTCCCAGAAGACTGGGAATTCAGATCATTTAGCTGTCCAGCGCAGGGTTTTAAATCAGACTTTGATAAGGAACACTGTTTTAGCTGTACATTTTTTTGAGAAGTACTGAGAGGTAATCTACAATTTTGAAAAGGGTGGTTGGTGTCCAGGCATCTTCATAAATGCATTAACATCGGTTTGTGTTTCACAGGACAGAGTTTACACATCAAAACTGAACAACTTGATTTATTTAAAATTCACCTCAAAATGCATTGTGTTTAGTTTCTTTTTTAAAATGAACATTCAAAGCATCAAAATATTACTAATTTAGAAAGAACCTTTGTTAAGAATAAGATAATTTACATACTGTAGATTGTGGCTGTGAGGGGAGAGAAACAACCAGTGGTAGATTAGGCACAGTACTAAAGGCCAACAGCCCAGAAAATAGCACAGCTCTATGCGCAACTTTTAAATCATCTGGACAAAATAAAACAATTGGGCAGGAAAATAAAACCAACCACTACTTGAGGGAGTTTGTGTAAAAAAAAATAAAAATAGTGTTAGTAAGTTTTCTATCTAGACCTAACTCATTCACGTATTCGAAGAACTCTACCTTCTTCCAAATAACAAACAAATGTTTCTAAATCAAGGCAGATTATTATTTGGAACTGGCATAGTAAAATAAAAGATCACAGTATACAGAGCTTAAAATCCTGTACCAGGAAAGAGGAACAAGTGGTTTACAAGGGGATCGTTTAAGTATATTATCTAATTTTAAAAACAGAGATATAAAATATCAGTTGCATAGGGATTTAAATATAAGGCCAAGCAGGAGATTAAAGTAAAATAGAGATCATAAGAAGGGCACTATGGTGTCAAAACATAGTATTTCCATTTGAATTAATGTCTAATTCAAAATCACAGTATTTTGCTAGTACTACAAACAGTGAATGTCGAACTGTCCCATTAATCTTGAACTGAAAACTGACATTAGAACTTCTAAATAGTACAAAACTAAAGCTCATTGTCTAAACCTGATCAGTGTATTAGCACAACAGTGCTTGGTACGTACCTGATTTATATACTCTACCTTCTGTAAATAATATAAAGGTTATTTCTTGTTAATAAGTGTGAGATCACAATATTACTGCATGCCATCAGTGGTTTGCAGGCTTACTTGATATTTAATTATTCAGTCTTTAAAAGTGTAAGATCCCACCCTGCAGAATCTTCACCTATTGAACACAGAACACTGTCATTAATAAAATACAATAGAAGTTCCACTGCTAACAACTAACATAGAAGCCAGGACTGTAGGTCTAAACCCAGTACAGTTCATTATTATTAACTCACAGCAATTTTTGTTAGGAAGGTAACCTGTAGACTTCCAATAATCTTGTGTGTATTAAATATAAACAAGTATGTAACTAAAGGTCATCTCTTGGCGTTTCAAGTAGATTATTCAATTGTGAAAGTATGTCCGCAAAATCAATTTTAAGTTGTTAAAATGAAGTTCAAATATTAATTTCTGTTTCTACATGTAGCTTAATTACCCTAAAAATGCAAGGAATAGTAGTGTAAGGAAAAAAAAATAATTCTCCAGATGAATTAGGCATTAAGGTACACTAACTGGGGATACCTGAACCAACATTGTAACTGAAAAAGTGCATAAACATAGTAATACTACAAATGTGTTAACTACAGAACAGAAGGTTTTCCGAAAACTAAGTGATACTATTTTACATGTTATTTACAAGTTGCAATTTCTCCAGAGACCACAGAGCCGATTTACAATCCTAAAATTCCTTTGATATATTCAAAGTGTCCTTTGGCTTCCATCCTATTCGGTCAAGAACCTATTCACACACCAGTGAATCAGGTACTGTACAGTCGAACAACACTGCCACTGTGGTTCTCTAATTCTTCAAAATTCACTCCTTTCTGTTCTTTGAAGAAAAAGTAGTATTTTCATTTCACACTTTTCGTAGGTGTTTCAGATTCTGTAGACTGTCTCCCGTCAGTCCATGCTTCTCGTGTGCTCTTCAGTGCTAGAGTTTTCTGCTGGTCGACTACAACGTAATCAACTCTTTCATCTGCCACACTGCTGCCTGAACCACTGCTCTTCTTCTGGTAAAGGCAAGAGAGCAAAAAACACATGTTAAAATAAATGAACAACAAAAAGCGAGTAGATGTTCCACACAGATGTAGAACAAGCACATGTTTCTCTAAAAGGTCCAACACAGGCTCTCCAATTGATTATTTGACAAACTAGTTAAGATGATCTTGCTGGAGGCTCCTCCTTCCCAGCAGCTACCTGTCAAGAAGTTCTAAACTCTTGATAGCAGAAATGCAAGAGTTGAAGATTTGCTTACCTTACGAGGTGGGGTAGATTTTCCTGAATCTAGGTCCAGATCTAAATACTCTACTTGTTTATCTCCCTTAGGTTTTACCATAGGGCTACTTCCTCCATCAAGACTGTTGCTTCCAAACAAATTCTGAAATTATAATATAAATAACTTCAGCTACAAATGTACATGCTGATGGTCCACAGTATCAAATAAGCTTATTACAAACTGCCAAAATATTAAAGGTTAAAGAACTGACTGAGAGGTCTTGCAGTCAGTTAAGCCATGCAAATTTCATTGACATTGTATAACAAAGGGATATATTTTAAGCCAAAACTGGGACAGAATTGAAAGCCAAAAGGAGGGAAAAACCCCCAAACCAACCCCCAAATTTAAAGTTGCCACCAAACCAATCTGTGCCTTCCACGTAATGTCCCTTTGATATAATGAAATAAGAATGGAGTGTGTTTTGTTCTTTTTAAACAAAGTTGTTATATCTCAAATTTAGCATTACTTAATTACAAACTCTTTTATTTCCTTAAACTGCTGTTAAATAGTGGCAAAACTTTGAATGAAGCCTTTACATTTCATTCAAAAGCCATTATGATTAAGCTGAAAATCAGAAAGTGTCTGTCAATTGGTAAGACCAAAAGATTAAAGCTTTGGAATTTTTGTGTAGGGCTGCCTGAACTGAAGTTGCATTATATATACCTAAATTTCAATTAGCCCAGACTTTTACAACCTCACCTCCTCTGTCCTCTCCCAGCCTGATCCCTCCCTCTTAACAGGTGTTATAGGAACAGTACAATAGAAGGACTCTTCTCTAAAAGATAAAGAAAAAAAAGGAAGACAGAGGGCAGCAGTCAGCAAAAAATGAAGAGGAAGGAAGAAGGGAAGACAGAAGGGCAAGGCTGACAGCAACTTGAAAGAAAAAGCAGAATAAAAAAAAAAGCAGAATATTGCTGATTTTATTAAATGAAACAGAAGTATGACATGTCCAAAGAAGATGCTTCAAAGCTGATGACAGAAAAAGATGCAAAAGTATGGACTCCATTCTAAGATGCAGTTGGAACAAATAAAAATTTCTAAAGCATCTATGTAATTGGCACATTTTAAAACAAAGGACTTGAGATATCTGGAAATGTTCAGGTTCTCTAGGAAACAAAATATTTTATGGGTTAAAGCTTAATGGGCTGGGATTTTTAAACTGAAGTTATTCACTAGATCTGTATTGTCCAACTCATTTATTAGTAAGTGGTAACAAGGACAAACACAAACAACTGAGACAAAGTTCATTTTTGTTGCCCAAATTCTCTAAACAAATTTCTGCATATTTAACATACAAAATCAGGTTCTGTATCAAAGTTTCCAGCATAACTAAAAAAAAGCTGTTACTCTTTAAATAAAAAATAATCTGTTATTTCAAACAAATCAGACAGGCAGAACACAGGCATTAGAAAACAGAAACTTTATACATAAATGAAAATGAAAGGAAATCTATAGAACAACCCTAAAGAATGAACGGTGCAAGCAAACAGAAGATAATAATATCTTCTCAGACAGGTTGTCTGAGCTGTGATATTAATTATACCACCTTGGCACTGAAGTTAACCCCCTGAAATGGCATTGTAAGAATCAACAGAAATCCCCAATTTGAACTGTGATTCTGCTGCAGGGAGAACTGTGGGCACAGGCGATTGTAAACCTTTGGGTCAAATGGTACGTTTCTTGCATCTGTAAAATGGGACGTTACCAGTTACTTACCAATGTCCCTTTGCAAGAGAGGGTCTAAGTTTTTACATCATCAGCTCCCCACTGCTGAAGCACACTTCACCTGAAAGCACGCCTGCACTGCTGGCAGGTGGGACATCGTACAAAGCACCAGCCAGGACGCTCTGCAAGGTCCTGAGCTTGCACCAAGTCAGAGCTGCCACAGAGGAGTCAGCAGGAGGGGGCTGGTCAGGGAGACCCTAAAAGGCAGTATCCAGAGGCAGCAATGGTGAGCTGGAGAGGAGGGAGACTGGAGGAGACCAGGGAGGGTATCCAGAGCAGCAGGGGATGGGGAAGCAAGCAGCACTGTGAGAGGAGGAGAGTCCAGGGTGTAGTGAAATGGGCTAGCACATGCCATATAAGGCAGCAGTAAACGAACAGAACGAAAGAGGTGCTAGACAGGCCCTCCCCAAAGAAGGTCTTTCATAATGCTTTGAAGATGAGAAATGCTGTTGTATTCCCTAATAAGAACCCAAGCCTTAAAAATGTGGTGAATGCACTGGACTATACTGAACAAAAAGCTGAACTCAAGTACAGTTTTTCCTCCCATGCTTTAGGGGTCTTCTGGACCACATTTTAGTTTAGGTCTAGATCGACTGCTACTCTGTCAATTTAAAATACTATTATTGCTTGGTTTTCTCTCTCTCTCCTCCCCCCCACCCCCCACCCAAAAATGACAGCATGCATCATTAACTTTCCCTATCTCTTCACTTACTGCACTGCAAACTGAATATCTGAAACTTTATTGATAGAAAATTCTCCCCTAAAGGGGAATACAGATATTCAATACAGAAAACCCCCTTCTATCCTCTTTTCTGAAAGAAGCCTTATAAAAGTACAGATTTTTATAGAAAGTAAACAACAAATATAAACCCGTTTTCTCTCTGTTCCCTCCACATTTCTTGGAAGATATCCTTTCAATAAAGGCTTTTCAAGCATGTCTCAAGAGATCTTGAGACAGTTTATTTCCCTTGATGTCATTATTCTGAACTGGTGCATAGGAACAAGCAATTACAAAAAGGAAGTGGAAAAAAGTCACATATTGAACTGCTTTGTACAATAGATACGTATACTAACCATTCTCTTTATATATATATA